CTGCCTTGACATCCTCATCTGTGCCTTCCCTGCCGCCTGTAGTTGGAATGATGCTGCCTAGGTGGCTGGTGAAAGAGACAACCTCCTTTCGATTTTCCCCATCGATGGTGATTGGCTTTTGTTGTTGTTGGGTCTCTTCTTTACCTCTATCTCCTCCACATTCACCTGAAGGAGGTCCTGTTTTCGCTGCCCTTCCTCTTCTGTCAACTTGTTAGTTTTCTCCTGTAGATCTTTGAGTTTGTGCGAGAAGACGGTTAACAGAAACCATCATCGGCGAAATCCAAATCTTCCTCTGGGGGTCTTTTCATCGGTCCAGCCAGTGTATGCCCGTCTTCTCGCTCCGCACGGTTTGTTGTTGATCTAGTGATGCAGACTTATTTAGTTTACCAAATGCATAAGTCAAAGCTTTCGATCAGGATCAATTAAAATTACGGAGCACAAAATCTTAGCTCGATGAAGATTACTAGAGCCTGTAGCAATGTATGCAACTGCACACAACCGCACAATATGATAGGATAAAGTGACATTATTAGGAACTAGTTTGGTTGGGTGGAGAGGGAGATTGGCAACCGAATCTTCGTTTATCGAATCAACGCCAAATACGTGTAATAGAAATTATTTTGCACCTGTCCCAGATGTATGGGAAGTTCTACCACCCTTATCACCTAAAAAGGAGAAAAAATAGAACCATGTCTCAAATTTGTGCGGTTGCTTGATATAAATATCGACAACAAACTGTATCCAAAACGTTATCCAGTAAATAATACTGTTTGTCTGTGTGACACATATAATAAATGGACCAAAATGGAATCGTCAGTTTGATTATCTGAAATAGCCGTATTTTGGCACAGTTGTATTGCTACTGTGTGATGATTGAAGGTGAGATGAAAATTTGGACCACAGCAGAATTACAGCCAGCGACCACTGAGTTACTGGCCTGGTGCTCAATCAACTAAACTACGAGACCCAACTACAAAGCAGATTTTTATTTCACTTCAGTCACCAAGGAATTGCACTCTTCCATAGTGACCAAATTTTGCTTCTATATTAATGGTTTCGCACTTTTATTATGTTGTCATCGAATATATTTCCACTTCGATAATTTCATCCATCTTGTGGGTAACTTGAAATTTAAAAAGCGTATAATGAAATACTTTCTCAGAAATGATTGTTTCCCGGTGACATTTCAGTTTTTGAGGATATCTGATTTCCAGTTGTCACACTTACTTCGTACAGAGATTTATTTTTCTTAACCGTAAATTTATGCGTATTGCGTGCTGATTAGTCAAGTTATTTAAAAGTCGTCATCTTTAGATAGATAGTTTATCAAAGATTGGTGACGTTTCGCTTATTTTTCCAGTCTTCTCTTCTAGTATATAGCTCCCCTTCTACTTCCTCCTCCCGCTTATCCTCCATATCATAATTATCTATCAAATCTCTTCAAAAAATGGTGCACTTTCTTCTTACCTATGTTCCTGTTACTTTACTTCCTATTTTTGGGTTTTTTTGGCTGAGATTATCTGAATTTTTATCAAAGTGCAGAGTGCATGTTTCTTAAATTTAGGCGATACTCTTCTTTAGAAGTGTATAGATCCAATTTTGCAAAGCTATTTTCTTGCCTTGATTAAAAAGTAAAATATATTTTCTTTCTGGTAATCCATTCTTAAAGTCTTAAGTTTCTGCGTTACATGATAAGTCATGATTTTAACAATGTAGAATTTATAAGCAGAAGGTGGGTGACTGGGTCGCTTCAAATATGCCCTGTTCTGCGATATCCAGTGAGAAAATGGTTAGAGGTGACTAGTGTAAAACACGGCATCAGTCCATGGAGACTGTGACTGTTGGTTCGAGCTATATAGAGAAATGTAGGCTTTTAGGTTAAATGTGTTTAGATGAAGACTATAAGTGATATGGCTGAGAATCGGTCTCAGTGATGTACATGCATCTACACGGTCTTCATCTTAATTGTCTTATTGCATTCCATTCTTTCTCTATCTCCTTTGTCTTGCGTTCTTATGACTTGGTACTACTTTCGATTGCGTCCTTTCTCCCTCTCCCTATTTCTGTATCATTCATCTCACTGCCTTCTGGTGTTATGAAGTAATGTGAAAAGTGGCAATTTGAACCACTGCCCATTAATGCCAGGTCCAGTGTTGATACTGTCTGACTGACATGGCAAAAATTATGTCTGTGGCTCATAGATTTAGACAGTCTACTGTTAATGACTGAGTTGGATAGTCAGATAATAACGCTACTATCCAGACGGTTGGTGTACCTCATTACCTGGTGATGCCTCAGAGACTGAGCTGACTTGGACATATGCTGCACATGCTGAGCCATTACCTACCTCAAAGTGTAGTGCATCCAGAAGTTGGGTTAGGTTGGAAGAAGATTTAAGATAGTCCAACCAAGACGTGGCACCAATCTATGAGATCTCTGATTGTTTATCTCAACCGTATAGGAAGGCAGACTGTCTGGCTGGGATACCCAAGACGACAGGTTTCATTGGTTAAGGACTCTCATGAAAAGCCTGAAATTGGTCACAATAGTGCAGATGTGTCTTCAGTCTTTAATATTTTGTACAGCTTAAATATGTTGACTGACTTTATGTTTTAAATTCCCTTTTCTCTCATACACCTCAGTATACTTCAATATCAGTCCTTTTCTATCCACTTGTATGCATGCCAGTGTGAAGTGTGGCAACTTCAACTGATGCATTTTTGTACAAAATTCTACGTTGGTTTTGTTTCCGCGTCCATATCGTTAGCACTTTGTATGATTTTAAGAGTTGTATTAGGAAAAAGATTCCTTATACTAACCATTTCACTTGCTTTCGCTGTTTATTGTTCACTTACAGTAGCAGGAAAGATAGAAAGTTAGGCAGTTAAAAGCAACGTGGGACTAAGTTCAGTTATCATACCGAATGGAAATAGGGGATGCAAAATCGCTATACTTGTTAACACTCATGATAATAAAGGAGTGAAGGAAATAGAAAATATAATAATCTCTGATAGATATAGAATTATGAAGTACTAACTGTTTAGTGCACGACAAAATATAGATGCCGTCAGTCTAACCTAAATGATGATGCAGGTTAGTGTAATAAGCATTAGACCAGACTTGTGTTACAAGCAATGATACTACCTGTCGTTTCAAATATTGATATGTATAGTTTCGTTTGCAACCATGACTATTGAGGATTTTATATCGGCCAAAATGAATTTTCATGTGCTTAAATTCAATAAATGTTTCTAATGGCCAATTTGAATTGTCTTTTTTGCTCCTTTTCCGCCTCAATTTTATCGCTTTTAAGAACGTTGTTTTCCTGTTGGTTAGCCTCCCACTTTTTAATATATTATTTTATCTATTCACCTCAAGGGTGTATACATTGTGTATATACGAAAGACTTGTGTCCCTGTTAGTTAGTTGAAGTTAATCGGCAGGAAGCCCTGGACCTAGGTTTCATGCTTTTTGGCACTTGTCAGCAAGGCGTATCTGCAACGTTGACGGAACTGATGTCCCGCCTGAGATTCGCACCAGCGTCACCCAGTGTTGTAGTCATTGACTTTACCACTAAGCGGCCCGAATAGCTTCCCAGGTAAGTACAGTGGTTGACACACTCGACTACTACACTCTCTATTGTTAGCCGCGGTGGGTCACCGTTGAAGACCAATCCTGGAGTAACAGTTTGCATTTGGGTGATGAGAAACGCATCCCAAACATTCTCAAATTCCCACTCAAAGTGTCCAAAAGACTCTGCATCTTGTCAGCGTCTTCATTTAACAGGGCCATGTCATCTGCACATTCTATGTCTAACGAAAATTCTTCCGCGATTAGGTCAACGTCTGTGTAATCAGGTGACGACGAGAGGGAGACCTCCATGAAAATATCTTCAATGAATTGAACAAGAATAAAGGCGTTAGGTATTCTTGACCGACACCACTCGATGAACATAGCTCCCCGGATATCTCACTATAGGCTCTAACACGCCCACAAATGTTCGAGTAGAGAGCCTTCAATAAGGTGATGTACTTACTCGGTACGCTTTCCAGTGTGAGACATTGCCATAAGATTTCTCGATCAACGGAGTTATGCCGCCTTTAGGTCGAGAAATACAGCTACTGTCAGGCGTCGGTAAACGTGCCTATGTTCCAGACCCTGGCGCAGTGTGAATATTTAGTCGATACCTCTGCGGCCGTGCTTAAAGCCCAATTAATCGTATCCGAAAATCTCACCGATGATTGATTAGTTGATAGTCAGGTAGGTGGTTAATTCAACGAGTCACCGCTCAGCTTCATGTGAATACCGGTTACAAAACATTCATTTAAGTCAAAACTGTTAACCATATCTTTGTTTTTGCTGAAACTAATAATTGATTACCTTACTGATCGATACAACAATCTGTTTAACTCGTCGCATTCCTTTCAAACCAAGCTGGAAAAAAAGTGGCTGAATAAGTTGAATGAATGGAAGGAAAATACTAATTTACTCATTAAGTGCTACGATGATCAGTTATCAGATATTTCACCTTTTGACTCTAGGTCTCACTGTCTCCTACTCTGGTGAGCCTAGGTTATCACTCTGTATTCGACACATAACTGTCTCCATGAAAGTTGATTAAACCACTATTCAATGCTTTCATTTATATTTTCTCACTCTGTGCTAGAATCTATCTTAGGGATGTTATCTAATCAGTAAATGAACTTAACTAATGAAACAAAGATTTATGTCCTCACTCATTTGTCACAACTTTTTTTTGTTCGGTTCTGCAACCCTTTATCAAACTTGGATTAAATGAAGCGAAATTTCAACCTTCATGACTTGAGATTGAAATCTATTAATCTCTTAACTTTGTAAACCACTTCAGTTTTAAATAATCCAACATTCTTTTAATTTCTAACTCATATCAACTTTTATTTCATACAAAACAAACTGATTTATCCATTATTTATGTTGTAGTGTTGAATATATTCTTCTACTTGTTTCTTTATAACTCTCAGATTCAGATGTTTTTCGAGACCATTTCTCATAAAACCAAAAAATTACAAATCTAAAAGACGATCAATGTCAAAAGACAAAGAGGATGTTGTTTCGAAGGATGAGGACAACAACGAAACCGGTACGACATTGCAAATGATGCCATCTTCTGCTTCGGATTCCGCTGGTTTGGCCAGTACTACTACAATAACAACAGTGGCTAGTACCAGTACTACTACTAATATTAATTCGGCCGCAAGTACTAGAACATCAAACCCTTCAATTGTTGATGATAATAACAAAAAATGGAAATATCCTATTTACACTGCTGGACATAATGTTACTACTACTCCAGTTGTTTCTGATACTACTTTTTCTACCGCTACTTCAGCTTCGCATACAACATTTATGTCACATTCGAAAACTATTCAACCTAGTAATATTGAAACTAATTATGAAAGTGTATCAGTTGTTGTGGAACCAGTTGAAGTAGCCGCTGCTGGTGAAGCACAAGCCGAATTAGATGAACGTGATAAACAAGTTTTACAGTAAGTAAATTGTTGTTATTTCAAGAGTAAATTCGAATTGAAACCTTTAACGGACACAAATATTGCTTCTCCCCGTATTATCTATCAAGATTCTGCATTAATCTGACTTCTTATTCAGAGTATTAAAGTCATGAGTAAATGAAGATGCTGTGTGGACTGTAGACTTCCTCCCCTAGATGTGAAGTTGAGCTTTTCACTAATGAGAATGTCTGACAGTCGTGTAAATGTGGAATACTACTTTTCAGTTCATTTATAACTCCCATTGTAACATAAAAAAACAAGATATTTGGCGAAAAAGACTCTATTCAAGGAATTTACTCTCAAGCTGTACATTCGTATACCTATATGATAATAGTTCAAGACTGCCATCCGTGATGAAGATTTAACTTACATAATGGGAGGTCGAAATAGCAATTATAGTGGTTATAATTATCATGCTAATAGTCGATAACATAAAGGTTGAACAATAACAGAAAGGGATTACGTAAGAGTTCTCAGTCGTTTTTCTTAACGTGCGTATACACTACAAAGAGGTGAAAACGTGATGGAGTTAATCAACAATGAAAGGATTAGATAATATGAATGAGACAAGTTTATTGGAACAAATTGAAAATGGTTTGTTAAAAGTTGTAATTACTAGGAAGATCAAATGAAGTTATAATGGTAATGACAGTAAAAGGGTAGAAAGGTTAGTGTAACAAAAGGTGAAATTGGAAAAAAACTGACGAAGTGTAACAAGACCAAAGTAAGTGAGGTCCGAGGTAGAGACAAAGACTGAGCATACTTCTTTTGGACATAAAGGTCAGACTTCAGTTCATGGGATAGCCAAGGCTTCTGGTAGTTTTAGAAGTTGGAGACGAGGGAAACGTAAGATGTTTAAGCAAATTCAATGAACAACCTTAAAGTTATTGTTTGGGTCAGTTGAATGGTTAGAATCGATTAGATGTTGAAGGATAGAACTTCTAATGCATTTCCTTTCACCCTCATAAAACCAGACAGGAATATGGTCTCATATGTGTTGACAGAAATCTGTGACTACGGCCGATATTCCTTGCTCCACTGCAGCATATAAACTGATAGATACGCATGAAGGTGGTTTGTCGAGGAATATTGTCTTTTACACAAATGGAAAACGATTTACGACCAGTAAAGGTCAAATGAAGTTTGGCTGAGAGAGAAGGTTTTCTAATTGTTCTCGAAGGATGATTTTTCAAGATATTTTATGCTTCATCTCCATTATCGAATTCGCTGAAACATCTCACGTTTCCTTCGTCTCCAACTCCTAAAAATAGCAAACGCCTTGTCTATCCCATGAACTGAAGCCTGACCTTTATGTGCAAAAGAAGTATGTACAGTTTTTGTCTCTACATTGGACTTAACCTATCTTGATCAATATTCGCTTTGTCCCTTTTCTCTTTCTTCAACTTCTCTTTTTGTTAGATTATTCTCTGTACTTATATATCGTCATAATTATTATGGTTACATTTGATGGTTTTCGGTGTTACTTCATTTGATCTTCCTAGTAATTACAACTTTTAACAAACCATTTTCAATTTATTCCAATAAACTTGTCTCATTCATATTATCTAATCCTTTCATTGTTGATTAACTCCATCACGTTTTCACCTCTTTGTAGTGTATACGCACGTTAAGAAAAACGACTGAGAACTCTTACGTAACGCCTTTCTGTTATTATTCAACCTTTATGTTATCGACTATTAGCATGATAATTGTAACCGCTATAATTGCTATTTCGACCTCCTATTATGTAAGTTAAATCTTCCTCATGGATGGTAGTCTCGAAATATCACATGTTTTGAAGTAGTGGAGAATATTTATCGCTCAAGTGGATGGTCTTGGTTGTATGCGCTTCCAATGATACCTGATCACTATAGACTTGATTTTGTGAGTTGTCTGGCTGCATTTGTTGAAGTGTCTCAAAGTGATATGAAGCGACTGTCTAGTGTAAATGTTGAATAATGATGAAAATTGTCTGAAAAATAAGATAAGTCAGATTAAGAAAGGATGCATCCTAATAAAGTTTCTGCATTGTAGGTATGCCTGAAAAAAGGAGGATAATAATGGCTGTGTACATTGTTTTGAGCTTACAAAGATTCATCATTCTGGTATGTTTGTTTTCAGCCCAGATAGAGAAACGGTTATTGGTGAATACTCTTCCTTGATTGTTTTGTAAAGCGGAAAGAAAGTAGACACTTGTGTATCATGATTTCAGAAAAGCAATACATTCGAAGTAATACTTAGATTTCAGTTCATCGCATCCCATTAGTGCAAAGGTCTGTGTTACCTCCAGTCTTTTAAGGAGGGCAGACACTCTAAAAATAGATGAAAACAAATAAGGTTTATGGAATTAAAATATGTGACCAATATTATTTATATTAATAATCATTCGGTAAATTGAATACACAACATGAAAAAAATAATGTTAATTTAGATCGTAAAAGTACTCCTCAATAATAGTTATCCCATACAAACCACACACCTTGGATGAGATTAGATAAGTACCGAACAATTACAATATCTCAGTTCTACAGAAAATTAAGGATGTTTGAGAACATCTTAATTTACGTGAAGGACGAAATTCCTCGGAACTGCGATGTAATATATACACAGGACAAACTTCAATGGAAATGAAAATTAGAAAAAACGAACATCCGACCCCCTAGAAGCTGAGAAATTTTGAAAATACTTCACCCATAGCTCTACACGCTATAATCTTAGGTTACAAGGTTGATTTTGACAATGTCGAAGTTATTCACAAAGTCCTTAGAAATTGTAAAGAACTTTTCATAGCAGAACGTTTTCACATAACATGGCATTAAAATAATCTAAATAGGAATGAAGGAGCAAAACATAACCTGACCTGTTTTCAACCCGCCCGCCACATACTAGCGTAACCAACACACTTGTGATAAGGACTCTCAGTAAATGTGTACATAGAAATCTAAATCTGTAACTTCACTCACTCACTACGCATTATACATTACATAACACATTGTATTTGTATTTGTTCAACAATTTGACATATCTTTGCATATCTACAAAGGTTCAGTTTATTTAGCTGTATCCGATGACCTTTACTATGTGTAAAACTCGGATTTGGAAAAAGAATGTTTCTTGTTTCTATTTTTCTCTAGTTTTATTTCGTTATCTGTGATAACAGTTTATAAAGGTTTTGTTTTATTATATGAACTGAATCCAGAGTTTGCGTTTTATTCTGTTTAGGGCTCGTCAGCTGGATGTACTTACACCCAAGTGAGTCATGTTGTTCCCGCTGGGATCTGAACCCAGTATCTATCATTTTAAACGCTAAAATGTTATCCATTGGCTCACGACAGCCACCACTTGTTCAACTACGATCAGATATTGTTTATTAACACTTGTAACTTCCTGTTGCTATGCTCCTTTTACTGGAGTTCAGGTATATTCAGCTGATGAGTGTCAAGCAGGATGAAACATGCTTCCTCGATTCCAATGCTAGCCAGCAAACAGACTACAATATGGCTGATCGTAAATCTGTTTGTTTCGTTATAAACACAGAAGTTGTTAGTCACTCTAAAATTATTCAGAGATGAAACTGCTTAGTTAAAATATGAACTGAACTGGAATGCTGACCAGTTTTATAAGCATAAACGCAGACTTTTCAACATTTCTTTTACGTAATGAGTTTATCTTTTTCTCCTCTATTCACTTTCTTTCATCATTCAGATACTTGAAAACGAAAGTGGTTTAGATCTTTTTCCGATTAGTTTCATTCCTTTTAATCCTATGGATTGTATTCGAGCTACTTTCAGAATGAGACCTTTCACTGCCTCTTTCGTAATATAACCAGTTGATTTTCCGTCTTTATGTTGCTTCACTGTGTATTAACTTGATCTGAACTGCAATATTTTATGTTGTATCTTCCCCTCTGTCTATTTGTTCGCATTGTGAATCGAATGTCGAAGTAGAATCGGTTTCACGATTACTCTGGATTAAAGTATCCTTCGTTATAGAATAATTAAAATCTAATATCGCCTGATAAATGGTAAATCTGCCTTCCTAATTGATCGTATTCACTCTCCTACTTACGTTTCCGTCTCTCTATGTGTAAAGTCTACTATTGTTGAATTATTGACTTCATTTGCTCCCTGATGTTTTTTAAATATTGTTATCTTCCTTTTTTTCCTTCCAGTTCATTACTAATGCATAAAACCCCAACAATTGTATCTTCTGTACCGGTGAATAACTTTTCCTATACGCCAACAAATGCATCAATGACACCAATGAAGGCAATCTCATCGAATACATTTGTCAGTCATTCACAGACAACCACCACCTCTACAAATCAGTCACCAACACCAGTGTTAGTATTATCATCATTCAACAGTTCGTCACATACTCCTGACAGTACATCAAATTCTACACTTCATACTTATGAATCTGTTGCTAGTTCAACAATAGCTAAGACCACCACTAAACAGCATCACGGTGTACATGAAATAAATAGATCGAATTTCAACGCTGATATCACATTGAATCAACCTGTACAGAATAGTGTCACCTCTTCGAGAAGTAATCATTCTTCATCATTTCTGAATGGATCCTTTGAGCATACTGAAATGGAAGAACAGAAAACTACCCCACTGTTTACTTCTTCTACTCAGCCTAAGTTGGACACAGCTGTATCAAAAGTAATTCCCAGTGTTCAAAGGTAATTTTATGAGATTTCTATTTTCTGTTTTGATATCTGTATTCAAATGAGATAATCTGTTTCAAAGTTGTATCTACAAAGGGATTAAGACAGTCAGACAATTCAGTGAACCATGATACATTGTTTGAGTTTGATGCTCTACTACACATACAGACTAACATCATTTCCAAGATCCTGTAGCCCACAGTTACACTTACTAACCGCTGCTTGGAAACAGCAAACTAGATAAAACCAAGAAGGTTTCAGACCTCGATGAGGTTGTGTCAATCAGATTTTCACCTTTTTGACAGATTCTGAAAAGTGGGCAAGATTACCGATGGCTGACACACCATATTTCTTGGCCTGAAGGCGATATTCGACTATGTCGACAGCGTGTGACTGTGAAGAGAATACCAAGCAAGTATGTGGTGCTAATCAAAGCTCTCTACTCGAACTCATGCAGTGATGGAAGGGTTTATGGACGCCATGCGCTTCTACCTTCTTGACGATGAGAGATCTTAGCCAGAAGCCAAGCTTCCGCCCAAGAATAATCATTTTTCCTGTATGAATCCTTACGACGACAAATTTACCAACCAGCCTGAGGTTCATACCACGAGTCAACACTACACGCACTCACCGGTCGACCTTTATGATTGCACTCATTCAAGGTAGCATGTTATAATTATCCATAAACAACCAACCACTACAATTTTTTGTGAAGTTCTGATGCACTTATGATGATCCCTAGTATGACTTTGAATCGTTGGCCACCTGAAAACCTAGCTGAGAGGGACGACTCACTCCAAGCATCCACACCCTAAGCTACACATTTTCGCCGTATTTTCGAAATCCGATTATTCCTGGCATCGGCTTCGCACCTGTCAAATGTAAAATGACGCTTCAGGAATGGTCTGCAACTAATCCCAGTTTAAAGATAGGAGGTGAAGTAGTGGGTTGCGTTGACTACCCGACTTACATGGCTAGTTGCATCAGCTCGAAAAGGCTGATTGCTAACGAGATCTCAGCTTGGATACAGAAGGTTTGGTTGACATTTACCGTCTCACATCATCTGTGACGCCGACTTGTGAGATACACGACCACCTATTAAGGGGCGAGTATACTCGGCCACATTTTCTTCTATCCTGTTAAACGACTGTAATTCTCATCGCGGAACTGACATGACTTGCAGAATCACTGGAAAACCTGGAGCATTGGATAGCCGTTTTCTGCTAGTTTGCAACTTCTCAGTGGAGCAAATTTTTCTGTTTTTGGAATGGATAAAACTATGAAACTGTAATTCCGACCAATTGATTATGTGGAAGTGTGCTCGTCAATGAGGTTTGACAGTCCTTCATTTAGTTTTTCACATGTCTGCTGAAGTGCACTGAACTGAGATGAAACAGCTATCCAGTGCTTCTTGCTTTTTAATGGTCTCTCAATTCAATTATATCCGTGATAAAAATTAGGTATGCATTGTTTTGAGTGGATTGTGATTATTTGTCGGTTAACACTTGCACAGTTTAATTTGGATAATAAGAAATCGTATGTATCAGTCTTATTAGTCAGTATACCATCAAAAGGAAGTCATCGCATTGGCTCACTAATAGCCCCTTTCAGGTTCAATGCTGAACAATTACGGTCAGAATCTTCCGATGAGACGTCTTTCAGTAGACACCAAGTGGTAGATATCTTGATACTGGATTCTTATTAGGGATTAGTAGTAATTCATGACTATTGATCTGAGAACAACAACCATCAGGCTCGCCTAGCTTACTAGTTCACTAGTTACTGGCCGGATAAAGAGGGGAGGTTGGCCACAGGACTAGCAACCCTACACAATCGCTAAAGAAACTTCAAAGCACAAAAAAATGTAAAAAATAAACTTATTCCTCGCTGGAATCGGGGAGACAGAATAACGCCGGTTGGTGAAAGCCTTCGGGAAGCCAATTGGCAGATGTTTCTTTTTTCTCTCTCTCTCTCTCTCGATGAAAGCAAAAACAGGAATGGAGATATGAAATGTTCGCACAATGTTTGAAGCTGGCTGACAGGGCTGCTCAGATTGCAAAAGAGATGAGGAGGTAAGACATATAAGTGCTTGGAATCTGTGAAAGCAGATGAAATGGAAGTGGACCCTCCAAACTGTCAACTGTCGAGGAGTCAATAATCTACTCTGAAATTGTCATGCAGACAACAACCACGAGCACTGTGCGTTTTGGAGTGGATATCATGATGTCCCCAAGAGCGTCAAAGGCTATCATGCAATGGGAACCAATATCCTCCTGGAGGATCATGACAGCAAGAATCAACTCAAAAGGAAGGAAAGATAGAATCATGCAACGCCACGCTACGCACCTACAAATAATGCAGGTCAAGAGAAGAATGAGGAATTCCACAGACAACTGCAATCAGTAATGAACAAGAACCCAGCCCAGTTGGCGACGGTGACATCAGAATTTTAATGGGTGATATGCCCAACTGGGAGCAGACAACATAGGAAAAGAACCAATTATGGATCAAGAGGCACTCCGTAAAAACATGATTGAGAAGAGAAAACTGTTCGCATACTTCTGCGCATTCAACGACTTGGTGATTTTGGATAATGTGTTAGAATACGTAGATTATCTGAAAAATGTGATATATTAGTGTCACACATTTTGAACAATCTCATCACACATTTGGTGATTCGACGAAGCGTGTACAAACTCAAGGATATTCACAAAGCGATATAGATCTCACCAGATAGACACAGTAGACTAAGGATCAGATCGACTTCATTTCAATCTGAAGAAATTTGAGACACAGTCTACTGGACACAAGATCAAGAAGGGGAGGAGATGTAAGTTCACACCCCTCACTACCTAGTGCAAGGAACCTACCTTCAAAACCAACTTGAAAGCTTTCAAAGAAGTTGATGGCAGACCACAGTTCAAGTTGAACATCCAGAACAGAAACTGAATGACGAAACTACAAAACACATCTTCAAGTCAGTCAGTCAGTCAGTCATCAGGACAAAATGAGAGACATTAGGCAACACCCCTGAAGGAACCTGCCTGGAAGAACACTGTAAGAACACTCTTTGAAAGAGAAGTGGACGGAAACCTGCATAAATGTGTAAGAAAGGAAGAAGAAACAAAACAAGGAATGGATGTTGACGGACACATGGAAGCTGATATTGGAGGGAGAGGAAGATGGTGAAGCAGAAGATGAACCGGTGCAGTGCACTGCAGTGCAGGGATGAACAACGAAAAGAGGAACTGAGCATAACCTGTAAAACACTACACTGGACAGAGGAGTGAAAGGGGATTCGTGGAAAGACAAAAGACACCTCTACGACACACTGGCAAGTGAAGCAGAACAGGCTGCTGGTAGCAGAAACTCGACTGCATTATATCAAATAACCAGGTTACCATCTAGGAGGGAAGAGATCAACTCAGATGAAACCGATGAAAGATAGTGAATGAAACCTAGTTACGAAAGAAGAGAAACAAAGGAAACAGAGGGCTGACCACTTCAAAAAGCTCTTGAATCGACCACCACCACCACCTGCAACCCATCCAGAAATACCACCAGCATCCCAGCCACAGAATTACCAGTGAACACAAGCCCTCCGAAAAATAGAAGAAGTGGTGTCCTTAACGCCATAAAGTTGCTGAAATCCGGGAAAGAAGCAGGACTAGATGGAACTCCAAGGGAAGCATTGAAAACAGACGCAGAAACTTCAGCGGACATGCATACACCACTACTTCAGAAGTTTTGTAAGGAAGGAGGGAAAGGTACCTGCTGACTGGAAGAAGAGCTGGCTTGTCAAACTCCTAAAGAAGGGTGGGCGACCTAAGCTTTTGCAAGAACTGGCGTGGTATCATGCTGTCTTCCACCCCAAGCAAAATATTACACCGCATCATCCTGGAGAGACTAAAACATGTTCTGGATTCAAAATTACGACCGGAACAGCAAAGCTGACTGGCTTCAGGAAAAACAAATCATGTGCGGAACGAATTGCAACGCTATGCTATGCATCATCATAGAACAGAGCACAGAATGGCAGTCAACTCTCTACCTACACTTTATCGACTTTGAAAAGGTATTCGACAGCGTCGATCGGTTTTGGTGTCACAAACCTTTATCAACCTCATTCAACAGCTGTATGAGGACGCCACATGCCAAATGATTCACAATAGAAAGCTCAGTGATGCCTTTGAAGTGAAGTTAAGACAGGAGTAAGACAAGGTTGCTATCAACTATCACGGATGATCTCGATTATGGTTGACTGAACTGCACTGGATCATGCAAGAAAATATGAGGAGCGGGAAGAGGGTCATATGCTGGCTGGACCGGCGCTGCTATATGGTTCAGAGACTTTACGTGTCACGAAAAGCATTCCCAACAAACTACTGGCATTCTTCAACAACTGAAGCCCCATGTTCCACTAGAAATTCAAAGGAGAAATAACAATATAATAATAATAAGTTATTCTTGAAGATGATTTCGTAAGCTATTTTGTAAAGCTGCACTTTTCTATCGAGTAGGCGTCTAATATTTACGAGTATGGAGAAAGCTTTAAGTAAACAGACATTGAGTACAGAACAGTCGCAGTACTTCATATCAGCACATGTAGGTAGAAAGATAAAGTTTTAGAAAAGAAATAGTGATAATGGTTTGTGTACCAGTGACATTTTCTGTAAGCCATATAAAGTCTCCAACCATAGGTTTGTGTTGGTTCGCTGTTCCTAATCGAGAAGCTAACATTTTTCGACATACCTCAAGTCGAAAGACAGACTGAATAGATTTTTCTCATATTTTGAGATGAACACTGAGCGTTTTTCCAGCTAAATCCTACTTCATTTAATACTTTACTTTGAGGTTATATGGAAGTTTGGCATGCATAACGTCAACCGCAAACATCAGTAGGTTTATACCAGAGTTAACTATGGTACTTTCTTAACGTTTACACTGTTCAAGTAGCCGTTCCAACGCATGCAGGTGATGTTACAAAAGTAACAGTGGTCAACACCTGGGACTTT